CCGCCACCGCCTCCAACTGAGTTCCGGCCCCGCCACGCGCCCCGTTCAAATCCCGCCCGCAGCCAATCAGCGCGCAGCGCCCCGCGCGGTGCACGCCGGGAGTTGTAGTCCTGAGCTCCGCCCCGCACCGCGGAACCGGGCCGGCAAATGGGGAACGGGAACGGCCCGGGCGCGAGCACCAGGAAAACGCTTCTTTACGGCCCGGCAACGTTAAACGGGATCGGAAAGGAAAACGTGCGGGAAGGTCCGGGCGCTGGGCGCCGTGGGGCAGCGCTGCCGCTCCGCTTCTCCCCCGCGCTGCGCTGTCCTTGGCGAGGAGCGGCCGGAACACCTGCGAGATACCGGCCTTATCTCGGAACGCAGCACGGCGCTGCGGCCCTGGGGAGAAAACCGAGAGCAGCGCAGCCCAAGCAGCGAGCCGGCAGGCGGAGCGGGGCTCTTATCAGAGCGGTTCGAGTCCCGAGCGATCGCTGCTCCGCGCGGTGCGGGGGGAGGATTCGTGCCCCGCTGCGTCACGCAGAGGCAGCGATGTTTGTTTCTGTGCCGGTCTGGGCGCCGAGTTCCCTGAAACAAAGCGAAAGGAAAACCTCCCGTTCGTTTCCACGGATGCTGCAGTAAAAAGCACGGCGCGGTGAGCTGACGGAAGAAATTCTCAGCGGCCAAATGCCGTTTTTCAGTGCAGCTCTGCGTTCTCATCGGTGGATCAGAGCCTGCAGGGCTGTCCTGCAGCTGCACTGATGGCAGCGTTGCTCAGTGCTGCCCACGCAAAGTCGATACGATGTCCTTGTCAGCATGTATGACATGATTAATGCTTGCTTGCAGCACCATAGGAGCCTCTCGGTGTTGTGGTTGCGATGCAGTGCTGCAGGAGGGGAGGCACACTGCACGACTGTCCTGCCTTAGCAAAGCAAAAGAAACATGACAACAAAAAAACGGTGCCAGCTTTATGGAGCCCTTAAACCAGGATCTGAACACCGGGCAGAATTGGCCTAAAATCTGATTGAGGGCACTGAGGCATTCCCTGGTGTTGTCCTTATCTGTGCGTGCAGACACCTCTGGCTGTCCTGGCAGCCCGCAGCATCCTTTGGGTCAAAACGAGTCGTCGTGAGGCTCTCAGCGGGGTTAAAGATAACGGAGGTGTTGGAGGAGAACCCAGAGGGCCGACAATGGACTGACAGCAGACGGTCACAGCGCTGTCAGAACGGGGTGGAAGAGCATCAGACGGGGCTGCACGCGTTGTGAGTCACTGGGAGCCCATGGGGTCGCGATTTGGGGAATGCAACGAATGCGGAATACACGAGGAAATGCAGTCTGTTCACGAACGATCGGCTGAGGGGGAATTTTTGGAGGGTTAAACCAAAGCTGCCCATAAGAATGCCTTCCTAACCTAATTGAGTAGTAACGCTTCTGCTGGTGCGCTTCTTCGAATCGATTCCTTCGTTTCGCACCTTTCTTTGGCCCACGCAGGCGGACGGCAGGCAGCTCCACACCCGGCCGTGCAGCGCTGCCGGGATGGGCGCTGCGCTCCCCGCACTGCCGGCTGCGGGCCGTCCCTGCCGTGACTGCGGGGCTCCGGACCGCCGCTCAGCCGCGATGCAGCGGTCGGAGGTCGATGCCAGCCGCGGACCAATCGCCGCGCGTCTTTCACCCGCGACGCGCGGTACGTCCAATGGGAGGCGACTCTGCTCTCTCCGTCCCCATCGGAGCCAATCAGCAGCGAGCCACGGGGCAGTGGGCGGGGCCACCTCCGCGGAACCGAAAGCAAAACCAAAGCGTGGCCGTGAGGGCGACAGCATCGCGACACCGGCACCTCGCCGTGACACCGCCCCACAACGCGGCGCCGCCGTCCCACGGCGGAATGTCGCCATCCCGACACGCAGTGACCCCCTGCCGCACAGCCTGGAGCCGCGTGCTGAGTCACGGTGCTGCTGTGGCTGTTCGTGGAGCTGCTGTGCTGCTATGGCTGCACTGTGGCTGTTCTGTAGAGCTGCTGTGCTGTTGTGGCTGCACTGTGGCTGTTCTGTAGAGCTGCTGTGCTGCTATGGCTGCACTGTGGCTGTTCTGTGGAGCTGCTGTGCTGTGGTACCTCTGTACTCCAGCTGCCCCATGGTGCAGCACGGTGGTCCCAATGCTACTCCTTGCCCCCCCGGGAGCAATGGGTGTTGTCACCCAGCTGTGGCTCTTTCCCCTATCAGTGCTTCATGCAGTACATTCACTAATAGTGAAACACCCAGGCGTTTTCACTTTGGGGCAGCGCAGGGTTTTCTGGGAAAGCACAGGAAGCGGCGGCTGAGGGCGGGCCGGGGGGCTTCCTGTTCTGTTGCAGACAGCAGCAAAACCATGGAGGCCGCCGTGCCCCCAATGTCAGCTCCGCTCTGCCTGGTGCACAACCAGGACTGCAAGCTGTCCCTCAACCCCGCAGCGCTGGCAGTTCTGCGCGGCGCCACTCAGCCAGTGGTGGTGGTGGCCATCATTGGGCTTCCTAGAACTGGGAAGTCCTTCCTGATGAAGCGAATGGCACAGAAGTGCACCAGTAAGCCGGGCTGTGGGGGTGGTTCTCTTCATTCTGGGGGCATCTGGGGAGATTTCTGATGGCTCCGTGCTCACAGGCTCCCCACTGGGCAGTGCGGTGCAGAAGCAAACAGAGGGCATCTGGATGTGGTGTCTGCCGCACCCGTGCAAACCTGGCGTGACGCTGGTGCTGCTGGACACCGAGGGGCTGGGAAACCCCTGCAGTGTGGGTGCCGGGGGGGGGGGGGTTGCCCCATACCTCCCCCACACCCCTCCAGATCCCCTCTAACATGGCTGCGGGTGCAGGATGACATCCACAACAACACCTGGATCTTCACGTTGGCGCTGCTGCTTTCCAGCACCCTGGTTTACAACTGCATGCGCACCGACATCCTCACGATGCTGGAGGGCTTGAGGTACGGGGACGGCTGGGAGGGCGGCGAGGTGGGGACAGCAGGGACAGTGTGACAGTGTGAGCAGTGACACGGTGACACGTGCCAACAGTTTGCTGACAGATCTGAAGAATTACGTGCGTGTGCGAGCGCAGGCGGATGGCACAGAGTGGCCAGAAGATGAGTTTGCCCGTGTCTTCCCTGACTTTGTCTGGGTCGTGCGTGACTTCAAGCCGCAGGAGGGCGAGCGGCCCTTCATCGTGGATCAGATACTGCTCCCATGGAACAGTAAGGCAGTCACTGTGCGTCCCCATCTGTCACTGTGTGTCCCTAAGGGCAGAGCACTGCTGACATGCAGCGTCTGAGGCGCAGACTCAGATGTGAATGATCCAAGTCCTTTATTGCAGATTCTAACATCCCTTATATACATCTCCAAGCTCCCTCCTGTAACTTTCCATCCCTACAA